ACTGGGGAATGAACCGTCGATAGTACCCGACGAGTCCCAGGAACTGTTGGACTTGGCGTTTCGTGGTGGGGGTTGGGCAGGCTGCCAGGGCTTGTACTTTCCCGACGAGGGGCTTCACTCGTCCTCCCCCTATAGTGTACCCCAAGTATGTGGTCTCCTGCCATCCAATGCGGCATTTCTTCAGGTTGGCGGTCAGACTCGCCTCCCGCAGGGCTCTCAGGACCGCCGCCACCTGTTCCAGGTCATCTTTCCAGTGCCGGCTATAGATCACGACATCATCCAGGTAGGCGGCCGCATAGTCATGATGGGGGCCGTAGAAGGCGATCCATTAGCCGCTGGAATGTCGCCAGGGCCCCATGGAGGCCAAAAGGCATCCGGGTGAACTGGTACAGTCCCGTAGGAGTGGCGAACGCGGTTTTTTCCTTAGAGGGGTCATCGAGCGGGATCTGCCAATACCCCTTACTGAGGTCGAGGGTGGTGATGAACCGGGCCTCGCTGAGGCAGCCCAGCAACTCGTCCACCCGGGGCATCGGATAGGCGTTGAACTGTGAGATGGCGTTCACCCGTCAGAAGTCTATACAGAAGCGTCGGGTGCCATCAGGCTTGGGCACCAAGACCACTGGGCTGCGCCACTCACTCTGAGATGGCTCGATGACTTCTAAGGCCAGCATGGCCTGTACCTCTTCCTCCACCTCCTGACGCATCCGGTATGGCAAGGGTCTGGTCGTTTCACGGATTACCTTCCCCGGCTCGGTCTGGACTGAGTGATAGACCAGGGTCGTGTACCTGGGTAGGGCCGTGAAGGTTCTTGGGAAGGCCTGCAGGAGACACTTGGCCTGCTTGCGCTGCTCCACCATAAGAGTGTCGCCAAGCAGGGGGGCAGAGGGGTCCTCGGTCTGGCGTGCGTGGGGGCCGAACTCCGGCTCGGGCGGGTAAGGATTAATCAGCAGGCCCTCCCGCTCCCGCCATGGTTTCAACAGGTTTACATGGTACCGCTGCGTCTTCTTGCGCCGGTCGGGCTGGCAGATCTTGTAGGTGACGGGGCCCACCTTCCGAGCTACCTCGTAGGGTCCCTGCCAACGGGCCAGTAGCTTCGACTCACTCGAGGGCAGGAGGAGCAGGACCCAATCACCGGGTTCAAAGTCACGCATCTGTGCTTCCCGGTTATAAGTCCGTTCCTGCCTGTTCTGGGCAGCTTTTAAGTTTTCACGGGCCAGGGCCCCAGCCTGAGCAACATACTCCTGCAACTGGAGGACGTAGTGCAGGAGGCCCTGAGTTGGAGAAGGGGACTGCTCCCATGTTTCACGCATTAAGTCCAACAGGCCCCGCGGACGGCGCCCGTACAGCAGTTCAAATGGGAAGAACTTGGTTGAGGACTGGGGTACCTCGCGGATAGCTAACAGCAGGGGAGGGAGCAACTGATCTCACCGGCGGAGTTCCTCCGGGGGGAATTTCCACAACCTTTCTTTGAGAGTCCGGTTAAACCGTTCCACCAGCCCATCCGTCTGTGGGTGGTAGACAGAAGTCCGTAATTGATTGATCCCCAGGAGCTTGCAGACCTGCTGCAGCAGGCGGGAGGTGAAATTAGTGCCTTGGTCCGTGAGGATTTCTCGGGGCAACCCCACCCGAGTGAAGACCTTCACCAGTTCACCGGCGATGGTCCGGGCCGTGGTGCTCCGTAACGGAATGGCCTCCGGGAAACGGGTGGCGTAGTCCACGATAACCAGGACATACTGGAACCCCGACGCACTCTTTGGAAGGGGTCCCACCAGGTCCATAGCCACCCGTTCGAATGGTGTTTCCATTATAGGCATGGGGACAAGGGGGGCCCTGGGTACCCTTTGCGGAGCGGCTACCTGGCACTCCGGGCAGGAGCTACAATAGTTCCTCACCTCCTGGTGAACCCCAGGCCAGAAGAACCGTGTTAGGATCCGGGCAAGGGTCTTCTCCTGGCCCAGATGCCCAGCCGCCGGGGTGTCGTGCGCCAGCTTCATCACGGCGCGCCGGTGACACCGCGGTACCAGCAGCTGCGTTTGGGGCTCCTTCGTACGGGCGTCACGGTCTACCCGGTAAAGACGGTCCTGGCGTAATTCGAAGTGGGGCCACTGGGTTGCCCGCTGGGGGTCGACGATGGTCCCATCGACGGCAGCTAGTTGTTCATAGGCCCCACTAAGGGTGGGGTCAGCTCTCTGGTCATGGCAGAAATCGGTATGAAGGAGGGGCTCAACTTCGGGCCCAGACCGGGGGTCGTCGGCCTTTCCGGTTCCTGCCTTGGGTTCTGGGTCCTCGGGCTCCTCTTCTGGTAGTGCCCCCTGGGACTCCCCCTCCAAGGCTGGGGTTGACCAGAGGATCTCCTCAAAGGCGGGCCAGTCCCGCCCCAGGATCACCGGGTACGCCAGCCGAGGGGCTAAGCCCACCACGATTCGGCGGGTGACATCAGCCACTGTTAACCGGACCCTGGCACTAGGGTACGGCCGGACCTCCCCATGGATACATTGCAGGTGGATTGTCCCCAAGTGGGGGTCCGCCTGGGGTCCTAAAGCCTGGCGAACCAGGGTCTGGCCGCAGCCTGAGTCGATCAAGGCCTGGGTGGAGTGGTCACCGACAACTACCGGGATCGTGATCTTGGGGGCCTGGGGTAGCCGGGCCCTGGTGTCCCCTGCGCAGACCAGGCTGAAGCTACAGTTCATGTCCATGCAGTCCCGTTGCAAGTGTCCCAACTTCCCACAACGGAAGCAAGGCCCGACTTCAGGGCGACCGCCGCGGGAGGAGGCTCCCCTCGGACTCCTAGGGGGGCTCCGGGGAACCCTTGCGACACTTGGCACGGGGGTGAATGGTCCGGGCCGAGGGGGAGGTTCCGGGCGTCTGAGCCGAGGTCCTGGGCGAGCCTCTTGCCCGCGGCCCAGGTTCGGGGCGTCCCCTCTCCGTTCGGAGTTTAGGTGTTCCGGTCCGGGGTTCTGAGCTCGGAGGCCGGGTCCCACCGGGGATTCGGCCGCGAGGAAGTCTTCCATTAGTGCGATGGCCGCAGCTAATGTCGCCGGAGCACCCAGGCCCGTCCTCGCGTCGGGAGAATGTGTACAAATTGTTCGAGGACAACTTGTTCTGTAACCTCCTCCGCGGTCCTCGTTTCTGGCTGTAGCCACCGCCTACATGCCTTCTTCAGGGCTTGGGCCACCAGCCTGGGTCTGGTGTCCGTGGAATACATTTGGCTCCGGAACCGCTGCCGAAATGTCTCCGGGCTGACATCTAAGGCGTCCAAGATTGCGGCCTTCACCCAGCTATAATCTCTTGCGTCTTCCGTAGCCAGCCCTCTATACGCCGTCTGGGCGGTCCCTGTGAGGTAGGGGGCCAGAAGCGTGGCCCATTGGGCCTGGGGCCACCCCGCGACCAGCGCCACCCACTCGAACGTAACCAAGAACGCCTCAGGGTCATCGTCGGGACCCATCTTGGTTAGTCGTACCGGGATGGCGCTGCGGGGCGACCCAGCCCCGTCCCTTGGCTGCAGGTCCACGGGGTGCGGCACCGCGGTCACAAGTTGCTGCAGCCGGTCCCCCAGCTGCTGAATGAGCTGCTGCTGCTGCTGCTGGAGTTGAGCGGCATGCTGCTGCTGCTGCTGTAGCTGGGCAGCGGCCTGCTGTTGTTGATGTTTGAGCTGGGCAGCTGCCTGCTGCTGCTGCTGGTGAACGTGGGCGGCCTGCTGGCGCTCCTGGCTCTCAGCCAGCAGTTGAAACAGTCGCTCCATCTCCATGGTTCTCGGGGGGGGGGGGAATCTCCCACCCTCAGGCCCTTCTCACAGGGCCAAGGGATCAGTCCCCACTTCTGGTACCACGTGTACACGAGTTGGCCGGGGCTCGACCCTCTCCGGGGCGACGGGTAGCCACACCGGCTCACTACCCACCGGGGCTGGGCACACTGTCTGGCGGCACGGTTTCCCTGGTGGTCCTTGCTGTCCTGAGAGGCACGATAAGCCTGACCCTAGCTTCGGGCAGACACCAACGTTATGTCAGGGCTCAGACCCTCAGTCGGGGCTGAGCAACAGTAAAAGGTACTTCAGCCCGGGCACTCGGTCAGAGCGGGGCAACAGTATAAAGTATTTAGGCCCAGGCCCTAGGTCAGGGCAGGGCAACAAATGCTGGGACAGGTGCTCAGGCCCTCAGTCAGGGCTGAGCAACAGTATAAAGTATTTAGGCC